AGAAGTGATTGATGATGTTTGGACCACAGAAGGGCAATCGAAACAACAGAATAAGAGGCATTATGAGATAAAGGAAGCTGACAGTCCAAGATCCTATCACTAACTGAGTGCAGAAGTGGCTGCTCATGATGGTTGTGTAACGGAGGGGGTTGCAGATGGCCACATACCGGTCAAAGGACATTGTAGCCAGAATTAAGTATTCAGCAGTGCCCAGAGTGAAATAGAAAAAGGCCTGTGTGAAACAGCCAGCAAGAGAAATGGTGTTGTTGCCCGAGGCCAAGTTCAACAAAGGTTAGGAATGACAAAAGAAGTGAATCCCATTTGCAAGAGAGAGAAGTTCCTGAGGAAAAAGTACATGGGGGTCTGGAGGTGACGGAAAAGGAGAAGAGCTCTGAGGCTGCATTGCGTGAATGGCTCATTGAATCATGCATGCAAGGTCAGACAGTGTGCAACCAGATATGTTTGGTAAAATCACAACAAGGACAGAGGGTGAATTTCTCCTTCCATTGTTCTTTATTAACAACCAGTATTTCTGGAATTCCACCTTTGAGAGCAATCAGGTGTTTCAGTCCCAGGTCACCCCACCCTCTGTATTGTCAAGTTTCCTTGTAAGAACATCTTGGTGATCATTACATCTGATAGTAGCACATGCCATAGCTTGACAATGTAGTGGAAGAAGTTAAATCTGAAAATCTACTTCAGTGTCATATCAATAGCAAACTCATCTCAATTTCTTGCAAAACCCAGTCCATTGTCTCAGTTCAGCCATCAAAGCATCTTGCACCTGTCTGTTCCTCAAACAGTATATGAATGGAACCAGAAAAGGAGCCACAACAGTATTCAGAAGAGCCACTATCTTGTTGAAGTCTAATTCACCGGTGCCTTTTGGCTTCATGTACATGACAATACAACTGCTGTAAGCAATAGAGACCACAGTCATGTGAGATGCACAAGTGGAGAAGGTCTTCTTCCTCCCTGTAGCTGATGGGATGTGCAGAATTCTGGAAATGATTTTGATGTAAGACACAATGTTGACAGCTAAGGTCCCAAGCAGAGAGAGTATGGCAATTAAAAAATAATTCAGTTCTACGAGCCTGGTGTCAACACATGCTAATTTGATTAGTGGTCCAGAGTCACAAAAGAAATGGTTGATGATGTTAGGACCACAAAATGGCATCTGAAATAAAACAATGGATGGAACTAGGAATAGTGATAACCCTCCAGCCCAGCAGGAAAGTACCAATAATGAGCAGATTCGTCCATTCATGATGGTTAAGTAGTGAAGAGGGTTACAGATTGCTATGTATCGATCAACAGACATTACAATCACTAGAAGAAAGTCAGTGGTGCCAAGGACAAAATAAAGAAAATTCTGTATGAAGCAACCAGCTAAGGAGATGCTTTTACTGCCAGTGGCTATGTTGGCCAGTGTTTTGGGAACGATCATACTTGTAAACAAAAAATCCACCCATGCCACATGTCGGAGGAAGAAATACATTGGGCTATAGAGTTGGGTGTTCAGTAATGTGATAATAATAATCAGCATGTTTCCTATTAATGTCAAAAGATAAATCCCAAGCAGAAGGAGAAAAAGGCCAACTTCTAATTGAAGGTTGTCTGTCAACCCCAACAGTATGAATTCCCTTATGATGGTCCTATTTGTCATTAGTTTATCCCTAAAAATAGAGTGAAAAAAAACTTTTTTCTTCTTTCTTTTAATCTCACATTTCATTAGGGATCATTTCATCCGTTTTCATTCTTTGTATTAAAATCAAAGAGAACTTAAAAACTGATGGTTTGAACCAGATGAAGATACTTCTAATATGTTATTCTAAGTAGGGTAATTGTTGTATATACTCTAATTCCAGCTCTGGTTAATTGAAGAGGAGGTAAGAGATGACCCTCCACGTTTTTACCTGTCCAAAACAATTCATCCTTGTGAACGTCCAAAGATCTTTTTCTGCATGATGATTGTCTGAATATTTCAGCTCTGCTCAGTGTTCTCCAGGCACTTCACCTGAAATGGCTGCACGTTCCCTTTCAATATCTTTAGCTAAATTCAAAGTTGACTGACAGATTGAAGGACATTCCTAAAGAGCTTTCACTGATCTCATGCAAACTCTATAGAACAGAATAAATTGAGAGTAAAAGATTTTGGAAAAGATGTAGTCCAGCAACCTTCTCTGTGTAGCTGTTACAGGGCAGGATCCAATTGTAGCATTTTTCCTTCTCCATTTTTCTGAAGGCTTCCCATTTTGCTAAAGAGAAATCCATGAATTTCCTACAAATGTCATCAGAATTAAATTTCAATATCTACAGTAAGAGCTGATGAGTATCCACCAGCTTTCATTCCTTGCAACTGTGCTAATGGATTTTTTTTTTTTAAATCAGTACTGCAAATTCACAATGTTTTATTCTCCCTCTCCAAAAAAAAAAAAATAATAATTCCACCAGCCTTCAGAAAATAGTTCCATTCACCCAGCACAGCTAGCTAAATGTGCAGCTACAGTGGAGTGCAGATTTCTATGCTACAAGAACAGTAAATAATCCTGCCTCTCCTTGTCAGCTGAAAAGTAGCATCCACGGATAGCTTCTTTTGACACACCGTGGCTTCTAGTCACTCTTTTTGGTACTTTTTGGACAAAAAAAAAGTCCAGAAAACGAGGTGAGGGGGCCAATAAAGATGGTTTCTATGCTAGAGACAATCAGAAGAACCCTTCTTCCTGTTGCTTCTCATTCCTATGGTCCAACCTCCCCCCTGTAGCTGAAAAGGCATTAAAAGTAACAGAAAGATGATGTTCCTAGAGGGACCCCAGTTTTGGGAGGCCACTCTATGACATCATCTCTATGTTGGCAACATGAAAGAAAAGTTAACATTCTCTTCAACCTCTTGTCCTGTTTGGACAACCCATCAGAGAAGGAAGAGTGCTTCAACGAGCAGTAAAGGAGATGGAGACCGGGAAATTTTCTTTCAGAGGAGCATGTCTGTGTTCTTCCAAAATAGGGCTGAATATGAGAGATATGCTACACATTCAGACTTCCCCAACTCTTCACGATTAAAATCTGCATTCCTCAACTGCACCTGGAAATAGGAAAATGATTGTGATGTTTTCACCCCCACGATATAAGGTCATCAAAGAAACGTAACCAAAGTGTTTCTTAAGCAGACATAATGATTATTCTAAATAATAACAAGTGGCATTGGACCTAGTCATAATGTGGTTTATATATCGCATAGAGTAGGCATTTATGCATCATGGAATAAAGTGGAACTTCTACCACCTGTGGCTTAATTTAAAATCAATGGTTAAAGAAAGCATCATTTGGAATTATTTTCTGTTGAGTCCTGCCGTGTATTCTCATATGAATGATTAGAACCAGAGTTAATTTATTTTTGCTTCTAAACCAGTCCTAAGCATTACACACAAGAAAGTGCCTGACTTACTCTACCACTTTTGGACTCTGCAAACTGTTACTTCATTTTAGAAAGCAACATTACAGCTCACCACTCTTGAGAAATGAAGCCATGAAAAATTGGCAGAAAAACTCATCCCTTGGTAACGACAGTGAAAAATCATTCATAAAATTTTCATGACCTCTTTGCTTTCTAGCATCTGATTTATGCTGGTAGAAGCTGTCTTCTGGATGATTAGAGCATGTTAGGTTTAACATGGTTACCAGTCAGAGGCAAGGTAAAAACATCTATCCAATTTTTACTCCCTCACTTACTTTTGGCAGTATAAGTATGCCATGCCATTCCATTCATTCACATGTGCCTCAGGGAGCTCCTATACTGAAGGAGGCCACTTCCCTGATTAGAAGATGTTCATCTCCATCCACAGGCATCCTTCAAAGCTGTTTTCACCTGCCTGTTTCTCAGGCTGTAAATGAAGGGGTTGAGCAAAGGAGAGACCACATTGTTCAGAACACCAACTGTTTTGCTGAGGTCCAGCCCCCCACTTTGTGTGGGCTTTACATACATGAAAATG